CCCTAATTCTTTTTCATGTTGTCGACGCCCAGGAAAGACATAATACGAAATCATGAAATCAGACGAATGCTAGGAATAAATCCAGTCTTACAGGTCATCACAGAACAACAGATGAAGTGGTTTGGACACCTAACAAGAATGCCCTGGTACTATCTGCCACAGCGAGCCACTCTAAAACGTTACAACGGGTATAGAGCGAGTGGAAGACCTCCGAAAAGATGGAGTGGTGGCATTATGAACAGCCTTACAGAAATCTATCTATCTATCTATCTATCTATCTATCTATCTATCTATCTATCTATCTATCTATCTATCTATCTATCTATCTATCTATCTATCTATCTATCTATCTATTTATCTATCTATCTATCTTATCTGTCCGTCCGTCCGTCGTCCGTCCGTCGTCCGTCTGTCTGTTAGTGTTTGTACGCTCAGGCGGATGTACTAGTGTCATCCCCGCGACGCAGCCCTGGTTACGCTGTTGTATCTGTAGTCGTTTACTCCTCCCATTACACAAGTATACCGACTCAGTTTTTGTTGCTCATCTGCGCGGTGGCGATATATAGGTTAGTACCTGTCCTGTTCATCCTCTTGAACGACGTTTTTCGCCAGGGACACAGATGAGTATAATTTATTTAGTACATTAGAGCCCTATGTAGTCACTTGATAGTTAGTGCATAGCTTGAGGGTGTCTATTGCACTTTCTTTAGCTGCTTCACTGCGGCTCTCTTTGCCTTCCACGCCTGTTCTACTTCTGGAGTCCACCGTGGGGGCTGTAGAAAAGTAGTTCTGGCCGTTTTGTTGCATTCTCCCTGTCTGAGGCGTCCAAGTAGGTTGCTGGTTCACTTGTACCGGAACGTCTTGTGTGCTCTCCCAACCTTAACCTTACTGAGTTTAGAAATCAAGACTGAACATGGTAGGTGATCACTCCCATGGTCATTCAGGACAGTTCATTTAACATCTAAAACCGACGACTGAGAGACAAATGCCTAGTCAATGGCTGTGTCTGCATCTTCAGACCTCATTGCCATTCTTGTCGGCCTCCCATCATTGATGCAGACCATATCGGAGTCAACCATGGCCTCTGCAAGAGCAAAGCCCTGTCGGTTTTTTCCACTGCTGTCACATTCTCTGTTCCTCGCGTTGAAATCCCCACATATGAGTAACCTATCACCTGGTAACTCCTCCAATTTCTTGAGCCAGCCCCATTGTTCACTTCTGACAAAACAGTCTACCGTGGCATATATATTTATGAGGTTCAGGCTTAAGCCACCAATCTCCACCTGTATCCCTTGAACCTCTCGTCCACTGTGGTTCCACTGCCTCAAGTCACCACCAGACCTTGTCTATGTCTCTCCTGTCCAATAGGGTTTATATAACTGACGTACCCAGGGCAATGATATTTATCTGTACTTAGCTCCTGGAGCATGATGACATCAAAATAAAAAAAATCAACCTCTCCAGTACAGGACCTCACTGCCTAGCACTCCGACAGTTCCAGTATCTTACTCTTACATGATTAAAGCCTAATCTCGCCGCTTTTCGCCTTGTTCTCCTAACACCTGCCCTCCTATTTCTATGCCTTTTTCTCTCCCCATTCCCTTGTCGTCTCCTCCTCACTCCCTCTTCACGAACTGCTGAAAAATGTGTCAAGCGCAGAGCACGTGCCCTGGAGCTCTGAGAGTGAAGAATGTATCAATGACTGCTGAAGCACTGGGAACGAGTTCCAAGGTCCATCGCCTTATTAAAGCACTCAACTCGGATACCGAACTCTCACACTGTCCCAGCCCAAAGACAAAGACATGCCTCAGCCTTCCCCAGCTGACAGTCAGGAGCCGGAAGCCATGTATGGCACTGACGGACCCTGCAGGCTGCCTGGTGTCCAACACCCCAGCTCCATTGGTTAACACAGAAAAGGTCAGATTAAGCTGGGTCTCTAGGCATGTAGGCTGATCCCTTTGTCAATGTATCATCACTTAAAAGGGGTTAAGTCTCCTGATCCTCCTCTCCAATATCAGTGTATCCTCTAGCTTTCGCATTCTCTTTCTCGTGGATATCTCACCTTTTGGGCCACTGGATAACAACGATGTCACAGGCGTGGCTGATAATCATCAACAAACCACCAATAATTACCAGAAAACCCATGGCAATGAGTAGCTGTGCTCGTGTCTCGGTCCTTCTGTGTGGTGTTTAGCAGGGATAGCTTGTAAGGTCCCGTTTGAGCCCCAGCAGCTGATCACTTCACTGAAAAGCAAAGTGTTATCATTAACAGAGCAGGTTTCTGGCCTGCAGGCTCCTAACTGGACAGGAAGCTCTGGCCAAAGGGCGAAAGCTCATGCGCCGCTGGATCGATAACGACAGGAAGCTGAACAGGGATACCAGCAAGCTTCAAATTTGCCTTGAGAATGCAGTAATTTCCATGGAGGTTCAGGCGTCTGTCTGCAGATAGAGCTGAAGCACTGCGACACCGAGCATAATTTCCAACAAAGATCCGTCTCGAAAGAGTCAATCCTGGACCAGGTTTCCCAAATGCAACTCGGACCTGCATGGCCCATGGCTTTGGTTTAGCCAGCCCCGCCATAAAAGCCCAGCATGAATGTATCATTAACACAAGCAGAAGTTAACATGTTACTAGCGGTTAACTTCTTCGTACTAACTACTTAACATACTTCTTCAATAAGGACTCCAAAAAACAGCTGGATACCTGGCGTTATTACATCATTATCTCTAAGAAGTTTATTCGGAATTTGTTTTTTCAAGTGTCTGTCGGAAACGACGAAACCACTCAGCTATTGTATCCACCCCCACTTGGATTTTGATACTGTCTTTTCAAGCTGAGTAAGTCCACCGAAGAGAGAAACTTCTTTAAAGCTAGACTGGGTATGATTGTGGAACAGGTCCGAATTCAGACCATTGGCTTCTAAACCAATGCTGTCTGATGTATGAAGTAAAACCAAATGCAGGGCTGTGATGGTGAATACACGTTTCCTCATTTCCACCATAACATGTGTCATCGGTAACAATGGAGGCAGATTATAACAGTGATTCAATCAATAATCTTTCCGACGAGTGATGATCATCGAACCGATCCCCTTGTCCCTTCACGCAGCATTCAGTTAATTCAAGATAATGCTCGCTCAGAGGATTTTATCATTTACACAGACGGTTCGGTGTCAAGAGGCAAAAGAAGTTCTTGGGGCTTCTTAGCAAAAGGTAATGGTCGACGTTTGGTGCAGGAGAGCCTTGCATATGATACCACAACATCCAGCTTAAGAATGGAGGTGGAGGTGGTCACTGCAGCTTTCCGCTGGCTAGAGAACACGACACACACACATTGTGATTGTAACTGACTCAGAAAGCATGCTGAGGAAGATCAGAACAGGTATGCTTCTCGCAGAGTGGCATGCTTCGCTGCGGAGGACACGGGTGAGGAGGATTGTCTGGATTTTTCACCGCAAGTCCAAGTCCAAGTCCTTTTGAGAAAAAAAAAAAGAAAAGCTCGACCACGTTCAGACTGCTGCTAGCTAGCCTAGGCTGCTAACAGTCTCCGCCTATATTTGTGGTCTGGGTTATTTGCGTCACTCTCGTGACTGAATACTGGTGTTTGTGCCATTTCTGGCTTAATGCTTCCATCCGAATCAAACCGCTCGTCCTGTTGTCACTGGTGCATGTCTTCCTTCTTCATTCATGGTGTTTCCTGTTTGTTCTGTCTCCCTTTGATCTGGCTAGGCGTATCTCGAAGGAGAGCGAGCTTCCAAACACAACGACCTTTCGGCCACCATTTATTGTTTTAAAATTTTGAGTATTTTTAATTTTGCCAAAAAGTACTGAAAACAGTTTTTGAATGTGAATAGTTCCGAAATGTGAAAATTTTTCGCGTGTGACCATAGTGGTCTTATAGTTGTCTTCCTGTAATATGAACGGGTTAGTCATGTAATGGATATGTGTGTGAGAGTTTGTGTGGAGTCTTAAGCGGGTCCAGTCGTCATTTGTTATTATGTGATCGGGTTGTGTTGATAGCTAAGCTCCGGTGTACGTAAATACCATATAACCGGACCGTCCAGCTCACGCTTTGAGATCCAAATGATCGGCGATAAGAATTGTTGTGGCATGTTGGGCAACGAACTCAAGTGCTCTCTGTGGGAATGGGTTGGGGGGTTAAACTCATAGTGCATCCGAAAGAGTTAGGGAAAGGTGGGGGGAGGGGAGCGGGAGGCCATTCAGTCAATTCTCGTCGTTGCCGTCTTGCTGGATTCTAGCGTGGCTTTTTGCCGGGACTATGTGTATCACGTTACCAACCTTTGCTATCATCCCAGTGATGGGGGGGGGGGGGGGGGGGGTCACCGCAGTACGCCGGTGTGTTGGGAAATGAACAGGCGGACGGACTGGATGGCTCTGCACTACTTGGTGGAATACTGCTACATGATAGGGCAGACATGGTTAGTGCCTTGTGGGAGAGCGTGTACAGTTTGGAGGAGCAGATGGATCACCACAGTCTGGTGAGATTGATGTAGGGGGGGGGAGTGACGAGAGGTCTGGCAGACGCTAGAGGCTCAGAGGAAAGGGAAGGACGTTTAATCAAAATGCTACTGGCACCATTAGTATCGGAACTCTTCGCTGGCTGCTGAAGATGGGGACGGAACGCTTATGGGAATGCCCAGGGTGCTGTGATGTCGGTTCTTGAATCAAATCAAATCAGTTTTTGCATATGTGCCGATGAAGGCTAATCGCCGTAACGTACTTTGTTCATTGTGATCGATTTTGTAAAACAGACATAAACTATTTGTTCTTTCTTACACCCTTTTTCCTATAATTTCCTACCTTTTTTTGAAAACGTGTCGGAAAGGCACTTTTGATGATACTTGTACAAGGGAAAGTACTCTAATATCTCAGCAAACTGCTAGCACGGAACAGCGTCGAGTCGTCGAATCGGGCTTGAATTGTCGACATTTGCAGATCTTAAGACTTGACAAGAAGGGGAAAATTTGTCTCTGTTAGAAATGAGTTCTCAGAAAGATAAGGGAGACAGAAAGAAGGGCGGAGGTTCAGAGTCTGACGAGCAGGTGAGCTTATATTTGCAGACACAGTAGTGGCACCTACTACTAGTAGTATCTTATTATTAATATTATTAAATAAGTAATTAGGTATTTAATAACAATTATTTATTAGGAGGCTAATCCTCCGAATAACGGTCGCAAATTATCGGGGAAGAAAATATACCCTAACAGGGCCTCAGTCACGTGTCAATTGGGAACTTCCGGAGACTATACCGCCACCCCTGAATTGCGAACTTCCGGGGACTATACCGCCACCGCCGAAAGTATCCCCCACGCCCTCACGCGGCGTGGATTGGGGCTAAACTAGATGGCTGGGACTCACGAGCAAATAAAATGAAAGAAGCTGCTGGAGATGCGGTAGTTGCTGCTCATGAGTCCCAGTCATCTAGTTTAGCCCCAATCCACGCCGTGTGGGCGGCATGGGGGATACTCTCTCGGCGGTGACGGAAGTCGCCAAAAGTGCGCAATTTAAGTCGCCAGAAGTTCGCATTGACTGTGGCCCTGTTAGTGTATATTTTCGGCCTTGATAATTTGGGACCGTTATTTGGAGGATAGCCTAATATTATATTACTTGTTAAAGCTTGAAGTACTGCATAGTAGTAGTACTATTAAATACTTGATTTGTATTTTTTTTTTAAAACCGATACAATAGCCTGTTTAATCCATCAGTCTGAGCTATACAATATATAATTTATTAATCGGTATATATATATATATATATATATATATATATATATATATATATATATATATATATATACAAAATTATATAAATTACTTTTTGTTTCAGTGTTGGATATTTGGCTATCCTCCGAATAACGGTCCTAAATTATCAAGGCCGAAAATATACCCTAACAGGGCCTCAGTCACGTGTCATTTACGGACTTCTGGGAGACTATACTGCCACCCCTGAGAGTATATATTTTCGGCCTTGATAATTTGGGACCGTTATTCGGAGGATAGCTGGATATTTATACATATCAGTTACATTGGCTATCCTCCGAAAAACCGCCCCAAAATATTAAGGCCAGTAATATACCCTAATACTAACAGGGTCTTAGTCATATGTAAATTGCGGACCTCTTTCCGGCGAATATACCGCATACGGCGAAAAAGCTTCCGCTGAGTTAAAGTCACCACCGAGAGAATCTCCCGCGCTGCGCAGAGGGGGGCTTAACTTGATGGCAGGGACTCACGAGCAGCAGCTACCGCATCTCTTGCAGCTTACTCCATTTTATTTGCTCGTGAGTCCCAGCTATCTGTTATAGCCCCCCTCAGCGCCACGTGTAGCGGCACAGGAGATACTCTTGGCGGTGACGGTATAGTCGCCAAAAAGAGGTCTGCAATTTACATATGACTGAGTCCCTGTTAGAGTATATTACCAGCCTCCATAATTCGAGACCCTTTTTTGAAGAATAGCCGTTACATTTGCTTATTTATTATTGCATAGTGTAAATTGTAACAGATTTGTAGACATAAAAAAAAGATTGTTTCATAATATCATTAACAAAAATTTATATTTTTAAGGGGCTTTTATAATAATATAATTGTGATACAAATATTGGTAATTATAATGTTCAGTATTGTGTCCAAATCTCTGTCTTTGTGAATATATATTAAAGTGATATGGAATACAGTTATTCTATTGTTATGTAAGATATAATAAGTACCTCATATGCAAAACCTGTGTTCTTCGGATATGCTGTGTAATCATTCCCTGTAGTTCTCTGATTAATGTCAACATTGTTTTATCAACTGCAGATTCATTCAGCAAACAGTTGGGAGTCAGCAGACTTAGGAGACAAACAGCGCAATGAGAAATTTCTCAGATTAATGGGGGCATCTAAGGTGAGTATTATGTCTGTTACTGTGTGTTATATAGCATATGAGGGAGGGGGTGGAGTGAGAGGTCAGAGAGAGGAGAGGTAACTAGGTCCTAGCTGACGATAGATTTAATCTTTTTCTAAAAAAATTCCCGCTTCACTGTTGTTATTAATTAATCCTCTCACTCTCACCCTGTAAAATTTTTTTTTAAAAGACAAGAATAGAGCCACTGCCTCCTAACAAGAATGAGTCGATTATTTAGGGGTTTCCATCAGAGTGCTGCGGCCTGAGAAGCATTCTGCTTACAAATAAGCCAGATCTGTAAAACGGTTGTGCACACAAAATTCAAGTTTTGGAACAAGAGTAAAGTCCAGAAGTGGACTAACAACCTGAACTTTCAGCCATAGTTTACAGCTGGTAAATGTAAAGAAGAAGTGGACAATTTTGTTAAAACAAAAACCTCCTGATAAGTCTTTATAATTCCAAGAAAGAGTAGAAGCAGTTTTTTTAATCAATATCCAGGCAGTCGAGCCATTAGAAGACTTAACAGGCAGGCGTGAAAGCTTCTAAAAAAAAAAGCTATATTTTGTCCAAAAAATAAATTTTCAAATCGGGAAACGGTTTATTTCTACATAAAGGAAGTAATCAGTAAATACAGACTGCATGGAAAATTATTAACTCTTTCAATCCCAGAGAGTTCTCGCAGCAAATGCTTAAGGATATGAAAGACCATTATTGGAAGTCATAAATATGTAACATTCAAAGAGGCAAATTACATAGCGGAGGTAGCCAGTATGGAAGCCAGAGTTCTTTAGTGTGATGTGACGAAGGGTAAAATGGAACAATGCGCGCGATGACTGTGATTCGTATGGAAAAGTTTGTTACGCAACCTACGTTGCATGGAACTGAAATAGTTAATGAACCAATTTCCATCCATGTGAACATCTGAAAGTGGTTTTAATCACCTTTGCACAAGGATCAGTGTGAAATTATGTATCACAATTTTTAAAAATCTACTTTTTCCCCACTTCAAATAATCTAAAAATAATAAATGAAATAAATAAATAAAAATGGTGGAAGGGGTTGTAAATATAATTATACTCACCATGTCTAAATACTGTAGTTGCAACCAGCATCAGAGCTCTTAAACAGGTGTTGTGACCACTGTCCAGAGACAACATATTATTACAAAAAAACTGATAAGACTAAGATTTCATCATAGGGGGTGACAGGGTTAACCAGTACCAGTGATAAACTGCACTTGTGGATATTGATATGTAAAAAAGAAAAAATGTATGTATAATGGTCACATTAAGGGATCTGTGTCCCTGTTTAAGTTCTGGGAATGCAGCATCAAAGTAAATGGGACAAACCTCAAGCAAGTTGGTATGTTTAAGTGCTTGGGTGCCCTGATAACATCAGATGGAAGATGTATTAAAGAAGTTAAATGTAGAATAGCTCAGACGAAGGCAGTATTTTACAAAATTAAGAATATTTTATGCGATCTTTCTTTGTCAATTGAGACGAGAAAAGAGAATTCTTAAAAGCTATACAAATCCTAGTCATGATATATGGAAATGAATCATGGATGGTTTGTAAATTAGTGAAAACTTTTTTGGAAGCTGCGGATATGTGGTTTTGTAGACAAATTATGAAATTACCCTGGACAGATGAAAAGAGTAACGAAGATATCTTGAAAGAAACTGACTCATGAAGAGAACTGATTGCCTACATCAGAAAGAGACAGTCTGTATTTTTTGGTCATGTGATGAAAAGGAGAAAACTGGAGCACATCATGACAGTAGCAAAGTTGGAGGGAAGGAGAGGCAGAGGGAGACCCAGAGAAAAGATGCTGGACAGTTTGACATCATGACATGGAAGATCATTGGTGTCAGAGTTGATCAAGAGAACATGAGACAGAAGGTTGCGGATAGACCTGACTACCAAAACCACATGGCGTGGACTTAAACAAAAGAAGTTCTGGGGCCCCTTTTTTTGGGGGGGGGGGGGGGGGGGGGTTTATACCCACTGCCATTTTACAAGAATGTCAAAAAAGGTGTCCAATTACAGTTTTGCTGAAATTTGATATGTTGGACCAAAATGCACAGTTGTTGTCAGAGTTAAAGAGATCATATTCGAGGAGTTTTTATATTTACGGAGAATATATAAATACAATGAAAGTGCTTACAATACTATTAAAATTTAATGCAAAGGCTACCAGTCATTCTTTTCAGGAATTTTTGTGTGTATGGGTAAAAAATATTATATATTTTCTTACCTTTTATTATTTGCAGAAAGAACACCATGGGAAAATTGTAATTGGTGATCAAAAACCAGTTCAGAAGAGAGAAAGTAAGCATAGTTAGAAATTAATTGATTGTCATTGCTTTTAAATGAGTTATTATTTCAATATGTAATGCTCATTAGGCATGTTCTTGTGTGAGATGCAGGGAAATCTAACAGCAGATACTTCCATATTTGTGTGAAATGCTAGTTGCTCATAACTAGCTAGGAAGATTTCGCCAGTCAGCAAATACTGGAAAGACATCAAGTTTGTCAATATTCCAGCTCTGCTGTTTATAGACAGCATAAATATTGTACAATAATTAAAATTTAAAAAAAAGTGAAAACACAAAAAGTTAATATTTACAGCTGTTTCTATTAAGAAAAGGGGAGGGGAAAGATAATTTTTTCCTCCAGCTTTCTGAGCCCTTGAGGTTCATCAGTGCAGATCTACACCTTAGAACCGGGCACAATTGACCTTGAGGTTCATCAGTGCAGATCTACACAGAACAGGGCACAATTGACCTTGAGGTTCATCGGTGCAGATCTACACCTTAGAACAGGGCACAATCGACCTTGAGGTTCATCAGTGCAGATCTACACCTTAGAACAGGGCACAATTGACCTTCAGGTTCATCAGTGCAGATCTACACCTTAGAACAGGGCATAATCGACTTTGAGGTTCATCATTGCAGATCTACACCTTAGAACAGGGCACAATCGACCTTGAGGTTCATCAGTGCAGATCTACACCTTAGAACAGGGCACAATTGACCTTGAGGTTCATCACTGCAGATCTACACCTTAGAACAGGGCACAATCGACTTTGCAGTGATATGTTCACAAAATTTAAGATTGGCGAATCAGCCGTGTGCACTTGTGGACTGGCACCTGAGACAACAGTCACATCCTCCAAGATTGTCCCAAATACATTTCCAGGCAAAACTTCTGGCCAAAAAAGACACTGGTGGAAGCAAAACTTTACTACGGGCCTTTAAGTGAATTATAAAAGACAGGAGAATTGCTGCAGATATAAGCCATATGGTGGTCAGTCCATTTTTTTTACAGACCAGTAGGATACAGAACGCTGTTGGTGGACATTTGCACTCAGTAGGATACTGAACGCTGTTGGTGGACATTTGCACTCAGTAGGATACTGAACACTGTTGGTGGACATTTGCACTCAGTAGGATACTGAACGCTGTTGGTGGACATTTGCACTCAGTAGGATACTGAACGCTGTTGGTGGACATTTGCACTCAGTAGGATACTGAACACTGTTGGTGGACATTTGCACTCAGTAGGATACTGAACACTGTTGGTGGACATTTGCACTCAGTAGGATACTAAACACTGTTGGTGGACATTTGCACTCAGTAGGATACTGAACACTGTTGGTGGACATTTGCACTCAGTAGGATCCTGAACGCTGTTGGTGGACATTTGCACTCAGTAGGATACTGAACACTGTTGGTGGACATTTGCACTCAGTAGGATACTGAACGCTGTTGGTGGACATTTGCACTCAGTAGGATACTGAACACTGTTGGTGGACATTTGCACTCAGTAGGATACTGAACACTGTTGGTGGACATTTGCACTCAGTAGGATACTGAACGCTGTAGGTGGACATTTGCACTCAGTAGGATCCTGAACGCTGTAGGTGGACATTTGCACTCAGTAGGATACTGAACGCTGTAGGTGGACATTTGCACTCAATAGGATACTGAACGCTGTTGGTGGACATTTGCACTCAGTAGGATCCTGAACGCTGTTGGTGGACATTTGCACTCAGTAGGATACTGAACACTGTTGGTGGACATTTGCACTCAATAGGATACTGAACGCTGTTGGTGGACATTTGCACTCAGTAGGATCCTGAACGCTGTTGGTGGACATTTGCACTCAGTAGGATACTGAACGCTGTTGGTGGACATTTGCACTCAGTAGGATCCTGAACGCTGTTGGTGGACATTTGCACTCAGTAGGATACTGAACGCTGTTGGTGGACATTTGCACTCAGTAGGATACTGAACGCTGTTGGTGGACATTTGCACTCAGTAGGATACATAATGCAGTCCAGCAAATACACAGGGGACAGAAATGGGTCGATTACGAACAGCAGCAGTTTCCATCAGGTCATTGTCTCATTAGAAAGAGAATGTAGAGAGTGGTGTAACAGTACGGCTAAATTAGAGGTACAACAACTGATAGATAAAAACATTGGATGATGCAGTAGTGTACACCAATGGTTCTCTTTACCAGAGTGTAAGATCTGGGTGGGGATTTTCAGCTAGAGTGATATTGGCAGAACAAAGTGATTATTTTTTATCTACAGCTTCAAGCATTAGTGTGGAGGTGGAGGCAGTTAGTGCAGCTCTGAAGTGGATAGAAAAAGCATAAGTACCTCGGCATTATAGGGATATACCTTCCTTAACTTGCATGGGTGCGAGAGAAAGACAGAGCAGATTTTCTGACAACAAAAGCGATAGGTATTGGATTGCTCATACTAGACAGAGAAAACCATTATGAACAGATGCTTACAGAAGACATGAAGTTAGATAAAATAACATGTGAAAGAATGTATGAATGAAGAATTTGTGGATCCAGCAAGGATGTACACATAAGAGAATGAATTGTGTATGTATAATCAGCGAGCTTCAGGAACAGTTAGCATCTACACTTTATTACACTTGCTGTAGGAAACAGCATCTGTAGGTGTGCCTAGTGTGCTATTAATTCTTAAATTCCAAAATTTGTTTGTATCAGTAATTACTAATTAAAGTAGGAATGCAGTTTCTTGGACATGTCCCCTGGTGCGGAATGAGGGGATCATCTCTCATTCCTCCAAGATTAATTGTCTTTGCTGTGATAGAGCTTGCCAAAAACTACACATCTGGCATGTTTTGAGATTATGAGAGTCAGTTGTTAACAAAAACCTCCCAGCATTCACCAGTAAGAGACCAAATCTGCCCTGATAAGTTGTTTTCTTCAAATAATACTGTAAACTGAAAATTTTTTGGCTGATGTACAGGTCTTAAATGCTGCTAGTTTATGGCTTGCCATGCAAAACATAGAATTCTTTCTTCTTCTGCCTTTCTACCCTCCCAATGGAGCATAGGCCCTCAACCAACTCACTCGTTCTATCTTTCGCCATTGCATGGAGTTCTCCCCATGTCCTTCTGATCTTTCTAACTTCATTCTCCAGCTCTCTTCTCCGTGTGTTTTTTGGCCTCCCTTTATTCCTATGCCCCTGTTGGTTCCAATGCAAAGACATTCTAGTTATGCTGTTTTCTCAGTGTTTGTCCTATCCAACGCCAGCATCTTTTCCTCACCTCTTGGTCCACTGGAGCCTGTTTAGTTCTCTCCCAAAGCTCTACATTAGTTATTCTATCATACCATTTAATTTCCTTTATTCTGCGCAGGACCCAGTTAATGAATGTTTGTAGTTTATTAGTTGTTCTTCATGTTTCCGCCCCATACAAAAGTACTGATTTAACATTAGAATAAATTTTTTTTTAGTTTAGTATTAAAACATAGAATAATCACAGTTAATTGAATGAAGGTGAATTCAGATTACCTAAAGATGTTTATATTATTCACCAGGAAAAGATGACAAGCAGCTGGCCGAGCAGCTAGAGGAGCAGTTTGAACACAGCATCGAACACCGTCTGGTAGGAGGAAGGAGAGGTCACCTGGGGCTTGGCTATCATCCTGAGTCAGAGAAAACAGCTGAGGAAGACAAACAGGAGGTTGAGGAGGATGAAGGTGTGGAGGCAAAAGTGGAAGAAGAATCAGAGGAGGACACTGTTCCAGATGAAGCTGAAGAAGAGACAGATGATGAAGATGAACAGATTCCTCAAAATAACACCCAGAAAGAAGGTTCCGGAAAAAGAGACAGTTTAGATAAACCCTCGGAAGTGGGTGTAAAGAAAATGAAATTTGTTAAAAGTGACTGATATTTGCAGTTTTTGTTTTTCCTTATTATGCGCTGCTGTTTATGAAGTGTATAAATAGCACAATGACATGATCATGTGGTAATGTTTTGTGATTACAGTAGTCATGCTTATAATACATTTTACATTCTCTATCTTGTAATTGCAACTTGTGCCTCATGTGACGGTGGGTCAAAATACAGAGAGATTTTATTCATCATTATTCATTATGTTAAAGCTGCTTATTGCCAGCAAAGAAGATGACATGTGACATGGAGGACCTGCTGTAAGCCTTTTGCAGATAAAAGAAAGAATTATAAAGATAAAAGACAACAAGGGCAGTTAACATGTATGCAGCTTGGTTTCTGCTGCTTAGGAAAGTGGAAGGCACATGGGTTTTTCTGCAGCACAGCCATGTGAGCTGTCACAATGTGGCAATACTTTGTTACAACACTCAGTACGCATAGAGTAGAACTAAAACACAACACACAACATTTAAGATTGATCTATCAGCCACATGCTGATCAGAACATCTCATCTAGACAGCAGAACACATCTAGACAGCAGAACACACTACTCCAAATCTGACACATTGAGGTAAACCTTTTGACCAGAAAGAATAAGTGGAAAGTAAGCTGTGAGTGAACTAAAAACGATAGTGGCATTTTTACAAGAGAAAAAAATGACAGAAATAGACAATTTATTTCAGGAAAATGAAAGAAGAAGAAAAGGACACAGTTTGTGATAACAGGTAAGATCAGACAAGCATTAGAATAGCATCTTTAGAGATTTACTATACAAGACAGAGAAGCAAAAGATTGGCCTGCAATGATATTGGTTCTTAAAATTTATAATTAAAAAAAAAATGCATTAGATGAAATCAAAGTTAAAAGTCGAGTGGATTTACTTCCTTGGACTGGGTTTTATCCCATAAAGCTCAGTCTCTCCACAGAATGGCTAGTCACTTACCGAGAGCATCAGACAATGTATAAACTCCGTAGCTCTAGCAGGATTTGCAGGAATCTCCTATAAATTGCACTGAATGATGCAGTCAGTGAAATAAACCTGTGGCCTTCAGAGCTCAGGTCAAACAACTTGCCCATTTTGCCCCAGAGACCCCCTGAAATAAAACACATACAACACAACAAAATTTCTAAACATTATTGAGATTTAACAGCTAGTTGAGCTGATGTAGTGGCTAGATATCAGAAGCACACAACAAAAACAGTAATGATCGACCAGCATCACTATCTGCAGTAGTTACAGATGTAATCATGTAAACAATAAAGCAAAACACAAACTGTGACCACAACTGTCAACACTGAGCTTTCTTGCCTTTCTGGTAATCTTCCAGATTACCCTTTGTTTTGTTAGTTACTTCTTGATATCAGCTTGACTGTATAACTCCTTTTTTTTTATTGTAAACAATGAAGAAGCATGTCACAGAACCATGTCACATTCTAGGAACTGAGGCTGTGGAAGATTATTAGCTATAAAGTCAATTAAATATCGCTTGAAAGACTAATGGATTGCCTTTTTTTTTTTTTTTTAAATAGAATACCTGTTTGTCACTTTGCTTCAGTTACCAGTATCACTGTAATGAATTTTCTTTAGGGTGACCAAATGTTCCGTTTCCACCAGGATAGTCCCAGTTTTTATATGTACCTGGCTGTCCTGTCAGTACTAAAAACGAAAACCCCACCAGTTGTCCGGTTTAAACAAATATAAGAATCAGCTAGAGAATAGAACGTAGGCTTATATCTGTTGACGTTTTTAGATTTCATAGTTTTTAGATACTTTTAGCAATAATAATGATACATTCTAGAATAACTGTTAAACTGAATTGCTTAGAGATGTCCTGTTTTGAGCTCAAAATATTAGTGGGGTGTCTCATATTCAGCTCAAGATGTATGGTCACCCTAATTCAACTATTTACATGGATAACTCATTCTCATCATGGAACCTCACGCCTTTAAAACCAGGACCAGCATAAAAACAAACGGGAGAAAGATGATATTGCAGGATGGCGTATCATAAAATAGATGCATATTCTACAAATATATTTGACTCACTGTCTTGTTTAATTGGAAATGCACAAATGTTGACAAAAATTTGCTGACCATTTTTCTGCAGACTCAGAGGATGTAAATGTTGTGGCAAAATTTATGTATCTGCGGTGTGAGATTAACTTTTAATTGTTTGTCATGCTCTTTATGGGTACATGTTATCTTGATTATAGTTTGTCTGCTAGAAAACACGTGTCAGCCTTACATAAATTGTGTGAAAAGGCTGGTTTTTTTTTCTCATGTCTTTTTTCAATCAGTGAAAATAAAATCTTACTAAAACGCTCAATGATTTTTAAATGACAAGACATTTTGTTAATTTTTTGTCTCTCTCATTGTTTTAAAATTTCATGTTATGAAATGCTTATCTTCAAACAAACTATTGATTTCTTTTCAATCAATCGCATTAAAAATGGACATCTGTTTTTTTTTCTTCCAGTTATTCATGCTCAAATGAATAAGACATTGTTTAAAAAATATGTAAATTTTGCATTTAGACTTCACTTAACAGACCCCTCACATTGCACCGCAGTAACAGCTTGCTAGACAGTGTTGTCTATTATCTGACCCTGTATGGGTGATGACTTGCAGCTCCCATTCTCTGTTGCAATCAGAAATCACAGTTTCCAGTCTTAAGACAGATGTGTCACTGTACTGTATTCATTCAATTTGGTTAGTATAAATGTAATATCACGGTGGCATTGCCAGGTGAAAGATGCTCTTTCTTTTTGTATGATCACAAACTGGTACAGTCTTCCCCTATCACTCTTTCCAGTTTCTTTTCATCCCAGCCAAAAAATGACTGAAACAGCACATGACAAAAAAAAAAACACACACACACACTTCTACCGGACTGACAGTGAGGGCAAGAGAAATAAAGTGCAAACTTTTACAAGTTTAGGTAATCAAAATAACTTTATTACAGAATCAACTAATACATACAATCAGGTTAACAATGTGTTAATTACATGGAAAAACTCAATAATAGTTCAGTTTATTAAACATTCAAATTATTCTCAGAGTAATCAGATTTGTGTCATATAATCACTTCACCCTCTTTGCAATCTGTCAGCAGACACAATATAAACATTTAGCTCACAACAGGAAATCTGCTAAACCTGATAGCAAAAGAACACGGTGGGCACGGACAACTAGTGCTAGTGTGCACTAGAAGTTTTTCTCGAGGGCTGAAGGATAATGGTTATTTAACATTGCTGGTGTTATTGTGTCCAGGACAAATGTTTTACTGTACACACGACAAAATGAGCAGCAGCTGACGGAGTGGCTAGAATGTTCGGCCTTTATGCAGGAGAGCTGCCAAGCCATCCTATCTTTTGACATCTGCTCTTCCTCTATATCGTTAATATCCATCTTCTCCTGCCTCTCTTCTCTATGCATTGCAGATTCCAGTGGAAGGACATTCTAGTTGTACTTTTATTAGTGTCCCCCATGTCTAAGTTAATAAAAGATTTCCGGTCAGTATTTTGGATAGACAGGCTTACTGTTTGTATCCATGGCAAGTATTTTCTTCTGACAATAGTCAGCCTTGCAAATTCCTGACAAAAACATGACAGTGTAAGATTTACATGCACGGCACATGATAATTTTGGTATCTACTTGTACACTCAGTGAAACAAAATTGTGTGCTACAGGTGAAATATGAGTACATTGGTGCAGACCTAGCACACCAGAGAGGACTTACTGCCACCTGACTAAAATATTGACAAATGAAATGATGGATATTTCACGACAAATATTTTGTGAGAACCATGGCACCTCAAACTTGACTAGTTACTTTCAGATGTTAAAATGTTTGAAAATATATATAATAATGTGTATATCTTCTTCTTCACCGGCTGTAAGCTCTAGCAAAAAGTTCTGGTTGTCATTCATCCACCTCCAGACTTTAGACTTGTTCCAATACCTAAGTGCATTGTGCACATCCGTTTTACAGATGACTCATTTGTATGCAGACTGTTGGTTTCTTGCCTCTCAGGCAGATGCACTCAGACTGAAGGAAGCTGACAATTAGTTGACTCTTATGATAGGTAGGCAGTGGGTCTATTATTGTTTTCTCACAATGGGGCCCCGGAACCCACTCGGAGAAATGTGTATATAATTCAATAAGATAATAATTTGTCCTCTACAAATTAAAAGATGATTAAAGAAATTGAAATTTTTTTTTAAATGGAGATGGTGATTAGTATAATTATTGCCGGCCAAAATTAATGTAAATCAGTTACGGTAATCACTAAAATTCGATCCATATATGGTAGGCCTATGTCAGGAATATCGGTTGGTGGGCATATTGTTAACAAACTGCGATATGCTGACGATATAGTGTTGATTGCTAAAAATGAAACACAAGTGCAAGAAAAGATGGATATCATTGTAACGGAAAGTGAAAACAAGGGTCTTAGTTTGAACAGCAGAAAAACAGATGTAATGGTAATTACAAACAAAACTGACTCTACAAATTGCAACATCAAAGTAAATGGGACAAATCTCAAGCAAGTTGATACGTTTTAGTACTTGGGGACCCTGATAAACATCAGACAGAAGATGTATTAAGGAAGTTAAATGTCGAATAGTTCATGCCTACCAGTGTGACACACGGCATAGAATTGAAAGTTACCGTTCAGGAGACACAAAGTACTGATTAAAAAGAACGTATCTGTAAGCTGTGAATGGACATATACACATGTATACAAAATGACATTGTAAACTACTCATCCTAACATTAAAACCTAAAAATTTTTTCTTACTCTTTACATTAACACCTTCTTCTTGTCCTTTATCTCCCACTGGAGCATAGGCTATACTATAATATAACTCACACAAAGTGTTTCTTTCTTTTGTCAGCTACAGCTCATTATATCCTGCCCATATTTTCATTTTTCTCCCATTAGGGTCTTAGGTCTCCCTGCAGGTTTCACTAAAAGGACATTCTACTATTATCAA